GTGGGGTGACTCCTTCAAAGATAATGCAATGTGGAACTGGTAATATAATGTGAAATATTTCTCCCAGTGGCCTCTAAACTGAATCCAACTCAGGTCAATAGTATTTGAAAGTTGTCACCCTCTAATGGCTGTCTCCATGGCTATGTACTTCAGAGCCTAACCCACAACACTAAAAACAGCATGAAAACTAGCCATCTAAGTAGAAACATCAAGAACTGAATGAGCACAGTCTGAATTATGCTCTTACCCTAAACACTACTCCTCAAAGCCAGAACTGAGTCACATTGATGGGGCACACTGTGGGGAAGTTTTCACTCCTTGTAGACTGGACTGAGTCTGTTTGGTGGATAGGGGTCTCTCTCTAGGCTGCTATTCAAATGTCTTTCATTAATACTATAGGATACATTTTCAATGGGCCTCAGAAACTGTGCTCAGCAGTCTTTCCAGGTGCAGCTATAAACCTGTGAAAAATATAACATCTGTGTAAGCAAAGCAGGTCGAATAAACTACACCTCAAATTGTCTGAATGTATAATTATCTAATTCATGTGCAAAAATGCATTCTTTTGAAAGTACAAAACAAAGAAACAAACAAAAAAGGTCCACAATGTACACTGATGGAATTTTAAAGGGCCTTACAACTGCAGCTGGGGAAAAAATAATTCACAGAAAATAAAGACCAAATAAAGAAATTTGCTATTTCTTCACAAAAACAAACAACACACTTGAGAAAAGTTCTGAGGTATGACCCTAGATCACTGGACATGAAGATTATATTCTTCTACTGAAGTCCTGCCAGGTACCATCCGCATTTCCAAACTTTGCTAGGGAGAAACAGGAGCAGTCACAGCCCTCAGGCTATGTCTAGAGTGCCGCTTTTTTCCAGCAGTGCAATTGTGTACCTTTTTCCGATAGTTTTGTCAGAAGAGGCTTTTACGAAATTTGACCCATCTACACTGGGCCAAATTTTGGAAAAAACATCCTCTTTCAGAAGAGCTCTCTTCCTCGTGGAATGAGGAAGCCAGGGCTGCCGAAAGAGCATGACTGCACTTCCACAAAAAATGTCGTTCCCTGGACATGGCAAAGTTTTTCCGGGATACCTCTAGTAGTATCTCCATAGTCCAGACATAGCCTCGGAGACCCTTGATTTAAACATTCCAGTCACAGAATATTGTTGTATACTCTGATTTTACCTAGAATATGTTAATTCCTGAACTCAGACTTGAGATCTGGAACCATCTGTCTGAAAATGTCAGTTTGTCCGTTCAAGCCCAGCACCTAAGTGACACCCCACGTTAAGAGTCCATCCCTGCACCAATCAATCGAATATGCAGCTGTGCACAAAACACGGGTAATTTAGGGCATAAAGAGACATATTAGCTTTTGTGCTCAAAGGCAGACTTTTACATTAAATAATGCTTAGAAAGCACTTCAGGTTGCTCTAATTTATGTCAAAGACTGGACCAACATCTACATGGCCCAATGTCAGAAGAGTGAAAAGTACCTTTACATCCTTGTGTCCCTGCAGAATTCTGAGCTGTGTTGAGTGATCATTTTATCTGTAGATAAGTTTATTAAGCCAGTGTGCTAATGTATGTCTTTTAGATCTGTGGGCTAACTGCAGGATTTGAATAATCGGAGACCTGATTTTCATCTCACCATGATGTTACATTTGTAACTTTCATTGATTTTAGTGGAATTATTCTTGATCTATACCTCGGACAACATGGAGAAGATCTACTGAGATTGAAGGACAGCAACTGGGGTACCCCTGGAGTCAGCTAGAAGTTGTGTCTCAAGACAGAGTGAAGTGGAAGAGACTTGTAGATGATATGCTCCACTTGAAGTGCAAGGGTTTAAGAAGAAGATACTAGTATAAGCAAAATCAAAATACAGACCAGAGCCTTTTGTGACACTGATATACAATACTTCCCTAGCAAACAGAAATAAAACAGAATACCTGAGTGAACAGTAATAGGGATCTTTGTAGTAAGTCACTTAGGGTATGTCTACACTCCCCCGCTAGTTCGAACTAGCGGGGTAATGTATGCATACTGAACATGCAAATGAAGCCCGGGATTTGAATTTCCCGGGCTTCATTTGCATAAGCGGGGAGCCGCCATTTTTAAATCCCCGCTGGTTCGAACCCCATGTAGCGCGGCTACACGGGGCTCAAACTAGGTAGTTCGGACTAGGATTCCTATTCCGAACTACCGGTACACCTCGTTCCACGGAATAGGAACCTAGTTCGAACTACCTAGTACGACCCCCGTGTAGCCGCGCTACATGGGGTTCGAACCAGCGGGGATTTAAAAATGGCGGCTCCCCGCTTATGCAAATGAAGCCCGGGATTTGAATTTCCCGGGCTTCATTTGCACGTTCAGTATGCATACATTACCCCGCTAGTTCGAACTAGCGGGGTAGTGTAGACATACCCTAAGGAAGTACTGAAGTAAGAAACTGTAATACCATGCATGAGTATTTACAAATAGTGTACAAATCAAGTGCAAAGGAATACCACCTTTGTTTCAGTCCAGAAGACAGAAAAAGCTATTAAGCCCAGAAAGCTATTTTATAAGCAGGCCAATGTAGTAAAACAAAATGTTAAATTAGCGCAGAGCAGTTGACCCTTCATCTTTATGTTCGGTTATTTCCACTGTTGTTAAGCCTTGATCGTGACAACCCTATTGCTTAACCACTGCAAAGTTCTGCTTTTACTGACTGCTTCAGGAAGTCACTTCCAGAGGCTGATGTCTTATTTGCACTTAGTGGTTTTTCCCTTTAAGGGTATGTCTACACTGCGGGCTAAAGTCCAGTTAAGCGTCGCAATTTCAGCTACATTACTAGTGTAGCCAAGTTGAAGTAGCTTAACTCGGCTTGGCACTGTCTACACAGCAGGAAGCTGAAGGAAGAAACAGCCGTGGTCACCTCATCGGAGGTTCAGAAAAGGGAAACAAAAATGATAAGGGGTTTGGAATAGGTCCCATATGAAGAGAGATTAAAAAGACTTGGTATTTTCATCTTAGAAAAGAGGAGACGGGGGGGAGGGGATATGAAGGAGGTCTATAAAATTATGGCTGGTGTAGAAAAAGTGAATAAGGAAAAGTTATTTATTTATTCCCACAATAAAAGATCTAGGGATCGCCAAATGAAATTAATTGACAGCAGGTTTAAAAGAAACAAAAGGAAGCTTTTCCTTACTCAGCGCACAGTCAACGTACAGAACTCCTTGCCAGAGAATGTGGTGAAGTCCTAGGACTTTAGCAGGGTTCAAACAAGAGGTAGGTAGATTCATGGATGTTAGGTCCTTCAATGATTATTAGCCAGGATGCGTAGGAATGGTGTCCCTAGCCACTGTTTGTCTGGAAATGGGTGACAGGAGAGGGATCATGTGAGGATTACCTGTTGTGTTCTCTCTCTCTCTGGGGCATCTGGTATTGGCCACTATTGGCAGACAGGATACTGGGCTACATGGACTTTTGGTCTGACCCAGTGTGTCCATTCTTATGTTCTTAAGACTTCCCTTACTCCTTGTGAAGTGAGGGTTACAGAAGTCGGAGTAAGAAGCCCATTATTTCAAAATTATTTTGAAATAGTTAGTTTGATTAGTTGCCTACAATATTAAATATGATTTCATCTATTGACTTGGCTTAAGGGTGTTAAAATTAACTTGTAAAAAACAACTGGATTTCCATGTCTTTTCATTGCAACTATACACACACACTGTAAGTCAACATCTATGTAGTAGGTCATGCAAAATCTAAAATCTAAGTAGGGCATTTTTGAAAAGTTGATTTCTTTTAAATCTCACTACGGGAACATGGTTTACATTTGTATGGCATGAAATACTTTGCACTCTATATGAACTACAAGTATATATGCAGCAAATACGGGAGTTACTTCATCCACCAGTGGAAGTCTGTTGCAGGGAGGTGGAATGCAGATCCTATTTAATGTGACGCATCAATACTGTGTATGGCAGAAAGTGAGTAATAAACATCCTACTGAAAGTGGAGAGAAATTCTAAATTACCCAGGAACCAGAATGGACATGTACAAATCAACTGAACTCTATGGCTACTTGTTTTACTACAAATCTAAAATTGGCCAAGGTTTCTTGAGCCTGTGAAGGATTGGGTTGGTTCACTGAAAACTCAGCCCAGATTGCCTTCAATGTTTCACAAATCTCAGTGAACCTAAAACGTTTTCAGTGAACTGCCTCCCTTCATATAAGCTTTGGGGAAAGAATTATGGTTATGCTTAAGGTTTCAACCCAAACACCAGAAAAAACTTTGTTTGAAATCTCAAAATGAAACTCTGGTGGGTGAACTCTGTGGATTGAAACCACGGCACACACTTGTTCAGCTCTAAAGCTCAGTATTACACATGACTCTCGTAAAGAGTCAGGCAGAATGTTGGCCAAAACATTAGGGCATCTACCCTTTGCATAAAATGCCATGGGATGTTTAGTGATCCCAGGCTCATCTGGAAGGTATTGATTTGATTGTCCATCTATCCAGAGAAAAGCTCTACGCCCTCCTATGTGTAATGATTCAGTTGGTGTAACTGAGCTCTGTGCTGCTCCACACATAGAATATTTGAATTTTGCGACACTATGTTACAGAGAATGTGTAATACTGAATCAATAATAAGTTCCACACTTTCTGTAAGGTACAAGAATCAGAGACAATTATCAATAGGGATAGACAAGTAATAAATGACTGTTATTCAGTGTATCGTCTCTCTTTCAGAGATTTATCCAGGAGCTGACAATTTACCTGAATTACTATTAATCAGAATGCCTGTCTCTATAATTTTTCACAATAATTCTTAGTCTGAAGTTCAGTTGTGAACAGTGTGTTGCAATTATTCAAAATCTGATCTGTTTTGGCAGAAACGATAGCTCAACGCGGGACATTTCTATTCCTCAACTGATAACAACATGTGGAATTAGGTTTCTAGTGTAAAAATATTTGCTATTATGGTACCGAAATTCACCTACCATAAAGATTCTACTGTGCTTCCTTCAAATTCACTTTCCACAACTAGTTCCTTCCTGTTAGTAAATTCAATCCCTGGAACATTTGTTGAAAGCAAACACAAAAGGGATCTGTACAAAGATAAAATAAATGATTAAACAACTCATATTAAATAACTCAAATGATTATTACTTTTTTCTTCCATATTCACTTAGCTCTAATCATCACACACCTGAAAAAAATTAAAATAGGGATGCATGTTTCTATTGCTGCATCCAAGCACCTTGAAACCTGAGTCTATCATTCTTAAGGTCTATGTGACTGAAGCAAGGATTAATTATTTGATTGTGAAATGAGACCTCACCTATGTTGCTGGAGGACAGTAGTGATTTAGAGTTTCACTAGGGAAGGATACAGCACTACAAATGATGTAAACATAACCAGGAGAACAACTTCCACTCTTGATGAAAAATACCAATTCCGCATTGATAGAAGCTTCTGAAGGTTCAAAGTACCATTATTACTTAGACCAACTCTGAGTTGTTTCCTGTAATCAATCATTATATAAGATCTGGAGCCAAATTCTTCTGCAGATTACAAACTCAGCAGTAATGTTAATGTCAGTGTAAGATATATATTGGGTTCAAGCTGATGTTGAAGTACTGTGACTGGCACTAATTTAATATGCAATGGGTGTGCAAAATGAGCCTAATTTACACACACACACACACACACACACACACAAACACACACACACACACACACCACTCAGAATAGTGTGAAAGTGCATGCATCTGGAGATAGAAGAAAATGTTCCTTTACTTTTCACTCTTCTTTCAGTTTCTTCTCCTGCTAGGTTTCCTATCTTCAGACTCAATTACACTTATTGGGCACAAAAGCTGCATAATAAATTAGTGCAAATGTAAGCCACACACCCAGAGGGTGTCCCATGTAGTGGCAGTTAGACCACTTGCAGTGAGAGATAAGAATGAGTGAGCTCTATGGCCAAAGCCAAGAGGCAGCTTGCTTTGTAGCTCAAGCTGTAGAGGAGGGCTACTCAACTTTGGAAGCCCCAGGGGCCACAACGATACAGCACATGCCGAGGGCCACAACTTAAATATATATGCAAATAGCTTCTTTCACGCTGACAGGCATGAATACAAAGCACTTCCCTCAATGTCCCGGCACCTCCTCCCTGGAGGGTTAGAAATGCTGACATCTTGTACCCGTCTGTTGCAGCCTGTCCACTTACGTTTTTCAATGCTCACCCCACTTACGAGCTACCTTGCCATTGTGGAGCGTGTTCCCAGTGGAGGCCATGTTCAAAGGATCCCACCTGTGGACCACGTGTTGAGTAGCCCAAACCATCCCGTGGGCCACATGTGGCCCGTGGGCCATGTGTTGAGTAGCCCTGCTGTAGTGGCTCTTACAGTAAGCTTTATAGGTCCCAGCTTTGAATCCATCTGCAGGTGATTACACGTTATACTGCTTAGCCTCTATGCTCAGTCATTTTAAACAAACCATATACAAATAAGTAATTTATGCCACCACTACATTTGACCCAGAGATTTCCCATCAGTATTTGCACCCACTTCACCTACAACATTAGGTCAAAATTCTGCTTTTACTTACATGGATATGGCTCTGCGTGAAGTCAAGGGGACTAAGTGTCAGCTTTACAATGCAGAGCCTGCAGTGACACCTTCCAACCAGCCCCGCTACTGGGAGGCTTCCTTGCCACAGTAAAGCTGCCTCTCCAGGATCTGGGGCAAGGGCTGCCAGGTGTCTAGCACTGACTCACAGCCCAGTATTTTTGCCTCCTGTCCAGTAAAGAAATTCAGAAAATACCGGACACTTAAAATGTCTGGTATTTTCTGATTTTTTCCCGGCCAGGAGGCGAAAATCCCGGGTGCTTACCTGGTTCCGCAGGGGAGTTGTCTGGCCTGGAGCAGGAAGACAAGATGGCGAATGGCCACCAGCAGCCTGTTAGGGCCAAAAAGCCTCAAAAGCATTTTTTTTTAAAGGGGATACACTTTTTTTTTTTTAATTCACTTAAGTCTTGGAGGCCCTTTTTTTGGCTCAATAACTTTGGTCTCCCCCCCCCCTTTTCTTTTCTTTAACAGAATTTTTTCCCCAGTGTTTTTTTTGGGGGAGTGTGTGTTCGCTATTTTTGGTTAAACCATCTGGCAACCCTATCTGGGCCACAGAGGCTGTTGGGTCTGTTCCTGGGCAGGTGTATTCTACACAGTGAAAAATCTACTGAAACACATTAAAACCAGTTTCTTAGTGAAATTGCTGACAAAGTTAATATATGGTCTTGGACAAGAAAAGATTTGTTAAATACCCTTTGTTAAATACCCAGTTTTGGCAGAGTTATGTTTTTTCACCTGTGAATATTTCCACCATAGACTTCAGCAGCGTTATCAGGAAGTAACTTTTCCATGCTTGTTACTGTAAACAAAGATTTCATGGCAAACGTCCAAGAGTTACAGAATGTCAGGGACCAAACTGCGAGAAAATTGAAGCCTGCTACCAGAAATGGAAATGAGAACCACCAGAATTCCAAACTTTGCTCATTCTTCTTGCTACTCTTATTAGTTGGACAACATGACAAACACTGGATTCATTATATAATACATGCAAGATTATATAGGGCCTTTTTTGTTCAAGTGACTATAGCTTAGTCAAACATACTGTTTAGGTTGCTATTTGCCAGGCTGGTTGTTTATACCAGGGTAAATTGTTTTGGAAAATTTCAGACAAAAGAGTTTGGCAAAATTATAAGCAACTGAAAAAAAGGATCTACTGTAGGGCACCACAGAAAAGGCCAGGAGGAAATTAATAATGTTGTTTTCTGATCAGGCTTTGAATAGAGTGCAGTAAACAGGGCAAGGGACCACACTGAACAATGGAGAATAAGACCAAGTACTAAACAGCTGCTCACTAAGTGAGAGCAATCCATCCTGTACACTACAAGGCAAGCGTCCCGTGGAAAAAATAGTATGTGATCATATAATTAAAGATGAATCATGATATATATGCAGAAATGGCCACGCAAACTTGACTCTGAAACCTCGTAGCTTTTGTGTGCTAAATTTTAAAAAAAGAGGAAAAAAACCCCACCCACTCAGAGCGAATACTCCAAAAGCCCATTACTAATTATTTGTCCACTGAGGAAAGCACGTCAGCATTTGCTTACCTTTAAGAATGTGCTTAAGTCCCATTTTCTTCAACAGCTCTTTAGTACATATTTAAGTGCTCTTCACGAATAGGAATGATTTATTGAATCAGCGACATGGCAACCAGAAAATGAATGTTGCACTAACAGTAGAGTATGTAGGCAAAACCCATATGTTGTTAACTTGTGAAGTACAGTTATGTTTACTAGCAAGAAACTTTGAGGAGTTCTAAGACTATCCACTGACAACAAGATGAACGTTTCCTAGTCTCTCATCTTACAGCAAGAAGTCATTTGCAGATGTTTTCGGCTTTTTATTGACATTTAGAAGGAAATTCAGTTCCTCCAAAACTGAAATTCATAACCAGATGTAGATTCCCAGCACTTGCATTATACTGTCAGTAACATGCATATGTTTTATATACATTTTAACATTGCAAAACAAAAGCTTCAAACTTGCTTTCACGCTGAATTGTGTGATGTGAGGCTGTAACCCACCATCTCATAAGCTCAAGTACAAGATTGGCTATTTATTCAATTGACAAGACAAAGAACAGTTCTTTGGTAGGACAACCTTATTCCATCAATGATGAGGACACAGCGACAGTACATGGTAAAGCTCTTTCAGGAAGAGTGTGATGGCTAACCGTGGTTTCCACTGACTCAAATAGATCTTAACCACATAAAATGCTCTGTTTCAGCAATGGGATTGAGCTGGTTTCACATTATACTGAGATAATTCTGACACTCCACAAACACTCCAAAGGCAAAATCTTGACTCCATGGACTTTAGTGGGACCAGGACTTCACTTCAAGTATTTCTCCAGTATACTGAGAGATTTCATCCGAGAACATAAGGCTATACTTGCACCAAATATTTGACATCTGCTACAACTTTGCAGACATGCCAGTTTGAATGGAGGTGAAAATGAATTAAAGGGTATACAGTCTATTCCAAGGGTTGGGGAACCTTTTTCGGGTCAGGGGGTCACTGACACAGAAAAAATCTTTTGAGGACCAAAAAAACTCATGCCCATTGTTGTGGTACCTGGCTGAGGAGAAAGACACTCCTCATATTCCCCTGGCACACCAGAGCCTGGGGGGCCCAACCTGGTAGATTTTGTGTGCTCAAACTCCACAGTGGGGTAGTGCAGAGGCTGGAGCACCAGTCCCCATGATGGGGGGAAGCCCTGAGCCTCGGGGACTGGATCCAGGCAAGCCGGAGGCCGCATCCGGCCCCCAGACTTGAGGTTCCCCACCCTTGGTCTATTCCTTATTAGACTAACAAATTAAAGATTGGGTGCATAAAATATTAAGAGTCTCAAAGTAAATTTCAACAAACCAAATTCCATACATCATCACATTCAAATTACATGGATGTTTACATATCTTGCTTTTTGGTGCCTCTAAATTCCCCAAGTAGAGAAGACCTTTTCGTTCAAAAGATCGCTACTTCCCTTCTGAGCTTCTTGTGCTAATACAGTGAAGGCATGGGTTATTTATCATGAGATCAATGGGAATATTGCAAACTATTCTCAGCCACAAGCCTCTATTGCTGATGAAAATGATGGCTTGTGGCCACAGAAACATACAATATTTCCATCTTGAATTCACATGCCCAAAATGAAATTAACGGCAGTCACACATGGCTATACAATTGTATCAGTAAATCCTGTGGTACAACCCCCAAAAGTTTAATAAATGTGCTCCTGATTCAATATTAATGAAGCTGCTTCCTCAGATCAGAGATACATTCTAAAAGAAATTGTTTGAGAAAGTGTAGTCTAGGTTATCCTTTTCGTAATACAATAATAGCATTTCTAATTATCTTAGACATTGTAAATTATTCCAAAGGAATTCATTATTTACTATTGTTTTGAGATGAAGGATAATCTTGATGTGGCTTGAATTCCAGACCCTGCCAATGATTTTCTGTGTGACCTTGAGCAAGTC